AATCAATGTTTTTGCCTTTTATTCTATTGCCCCGAAGCAGCTGGTCTTGGAATGAGCAAAGAAATCAGGAATACGCAGCAAAAACAGAAACTTACTCTTCAGTCCTGACCAACTGCAAGTTGAAAAATATTGTATCAACCCATATTTTCATCCTTGTTGTGCCACTAATGAAATTAGTTCATCTACTTTTAAAAACTCATTTCCTATTTTATTCTTATCCTTTCTACTGTTTTATATAGAGTATGTTGGTAGGGGTTAACTTTATATTATATATATTTTATACATATAACAACATATGTATAATATAAACTATAGATAGTATATATTCTATACTAATATGTACTGTAATCAAAAAGGTCAAGAATTTTAGTATGTAACCATAATAGAATTACTAGAATAGACTTTCTCTAAAGATCCTGACCTTTGAGTTGTATATAATAACTGGTGAGACTTTGGTCTCTCCATTAGGGAGAAGATGAGCATGTGTTGGGTTGTACACATGATGCTAAATGGCAGCATTTTTCCCATTTGTTTGTTGGATGTTTATGCATAGGAAGGAGGTTGAATGTTGATGTTTGACAAAGAGGTATTATAATGTAACTGTCATCGTTCCTTTTAGGCAATGAGCACCTGCTCCCATGAGTTGGGAACACTTCACTACATGAGTCTTCACGAGACCACCTCTTACTACAGAAGCTAAAAACACACTTTCCCAATCTCCCTTGTTGCTGGCACACATGCAGGCACCCTGTACACTGGCAATCAGATGCATTTATGCTTGATTTTTATTCAGGAGTTAGTTACCTGAAGAACTTGAGTCCAAAGAATCATTATAACAAGTGTGACAACAACAACATCCAATTTCCAAAGACCACAGGGAGAATGGTTCTGGCAGCAGTGGTCAGTGTCCCGCATCAATGGTGTTCTCTAGCTAAGTAGCACTAGCAGAGGCAGCTGTCTTCATGGGATCATTTCCGTGACATGACTGTGAACACTGTTCCTGGTATGTGGTTAACAAACTACTTCTGGTCCACCAGAGAGTGTGATATCCCTCTTATTTTTTATATGTACTAAAATTGAAACATCAATAAAAGTTGCAATTTAGTCTGACAGTATAACACACGATTTAGAATAGTATATATTGTAGCTTTAAAAGCCATGAAAATTATTAATCCTGTTTTTTTTTTTTTTGAGGGCCCATTTTTGCCAAAGGATTATGTACAATTTTAATTAGAATATAAAGCGGAATATTTCTTAGTCATTAAATGATTTTAACAACTCGAGAAAGTTGCCTGATACAAGTTTGATGGAAAATAAAATTGTTCAACATTTTAGTGTGTGACAGGTAGGAATCATGATAAAAAAATTGTCAATATGAAATTTTATTATTGTCACACTAACAACTGAAGTGCATCCATTCTCTTTATGATAATCATGTTAGAGTTAAAGTTTTTAAAATTAACAACAAAAATTGAATATATTTATGGTGTACAACATGATGTTTTGATATATGTATACATTGTTGAATGGCTAAATCAAACTATTTAACATGCATTACCTCTCATACTTATCATTTTTTTGTAGTGAGAACACTTAAAATCTACTTTTATAGCAATTTTCAAGTGTAGAATTTATTGTTATTAACTATAGTAACCACGATGTACAGAGTTAAGTATTTTTATTTGCACCATCTGTTATAACTTCTATTGCAAAGGAGAAATTCTGTTGTCTTCTTTTGAAAGACAAATACACCGAGCAATTTTTCTGCAGGCAATTTGTGCAAACCAATATAACATTTAAATTTTATCACAAAATATATAAAACAGGAACAAAACGGTCTTTGGACTCATTTTCTTGTTTGCTTTGTGTTTTTTTGTTTGTTTTGCAGGTGGCTGGTATAGGGATCTGAAGGAAATGGTTAATGGGCTTCTGTCCTCAGCACCCAAGGATGTGTTCACTTGGTGAACTTGCAAACGAGTTAACCAAGAAATGTCAAGGATTGCAAATAATCCTTGAGAACGTTTGAAGTTGTGAGAACACTTTCTTGGGATGTTCCCAGGAGGTGCATTATAGATAACCAAGTGCTTGAGAAGGGAGGTAA